CCACTTTTGACGGACCCTTGCCCTCGCTATCGCATATCGATCGCATCCACGCAGAGTCCAACGACCCGAGTTCCATCCGCTCGTCCCTGCAACCACTCACCACTTCCATCTACTTTGTCCTCCCCCTCTTGCTCTTGTCGTCTTTGCGGCTCTCTCTTTTTTACGACCTCACCTCTTTGCGACTCGCTCGATTATAGGTGCGCGCTTCTGGCGCATTTCCCACAAACCCTGGCGTCTTGGTCGCATCATCCGCCTGCTTCTATATTCCATCTCAAGACAAGAAAGTTGGCAGCAAAAGACGCCCGCCCGCGCGCACTTGCGACTGAGACCTTCCGCTCAGTTGATTGATTGATTGATTGATTGACCCTTTCACTCCGACACTCGCTCTTTTCCGCAAAGTTCACCTTGACGACACCAAACACCAGCAACAACAACAACAGCCAACACCTAATTTCCCCCAACCATCCGACACTGCAGCAGTCTCGAGCTCAGTCCCCTCTTTCTTCCCTTGCAGACGCAACGACAATACAACTTGAACGCGATAAGGAGCCACGCCGACCACGCCGACTACCTACTACTTACGCCGATCACGACGAACCACGACCACGACAGCATCGTGTTTCACCATAACAATTGGCACAGTACTACACCCATCCTCTATACAGTCGTCGGTACTTCTGCCTTCTGCCCATCAATCCTTTTGCTTTTTCCTTGACTTGTACACGTACATAGTACGTCCTTGGTTCCTTTAATTCCGCCGATTCGGCCTCTCTGCCTGCCGCACCCCAGCCATCCCCATTTGGTCCGCCATTTCATCTCTTTTGTTTTGTATTGCATCGCATCGCATCCACAGCACCTTGACGGTCAGGTCGTCGCGTCGCGTAACATCAACAAAGACCGACCGACCGACCGACCGGCCGACCGCCTTTGCGACAAAGAGACGGCTTGCGCCGACTATCAACCGTCTGGGATCTTCCTCTCCTGTCGCCCTTCCCTTGGTACCTTTTCACCACTCATTTGGCGACACTCGACTTCTCAACACCACATTCGCCGCGCCATCGAGTCCTCGTCGCCGACCTCGCTCGCGCCTGTTTCAACTTATTACCACCCTTTTATTCATCCCTTGCTCTTCCCGTCCCAGCCCAATACCGCATGACGCTTGTATAAGACATAATGGACCAACAACATTCCTCCGGGCGTGTAACAATGCCACGCGACTTTCGCTATGCCGTCGCGCTCGAACTTCCCGACGCCAGCGAAGGACCAAGGACGCCTATAAACCTAATTCCAGAACATGACGGCTTCCCCCAAATTCCTTCGCCTCCCAGACCCCGTCTCAAAGTCAAGAGACGCACCACTTCGAACCAGCTCGCCGCGTCACAGCAATTCCTGGCTTCCGTAGCAGCAGCAGACCTCGCCATCCCCAGTATCGAAGAGCCAGAGTCAGACCCAGAGGACTTTACCATGCATCCCTTCTCTCCAGAACCCTATCAAGACTCCCTGTCTTTGCAAATCCCCCGGGCCAGGGCGTATTCAGACGCAGGACCAAAGACACCAGTACCAACACCCATGGCGCTACCAACATTAACACCCCGTCGATACCCGGATTGGACCCTTGGTTCAACCAGTAGCTTCGAGTCAACACCTGAAGAGGATGACGACGACATAAGCAGGCCATCAACGTCCCAGTCCACCCAGACCAGCGACTCCTTTCCGAGCCAATGGTCTCAACTCTCTGGAGACGACGAAACCGACGAATGTGACCTTGAAATCGCCTCCCTCGACGGGAAGGAGGACACTCTACATGATTTCGGCACAGCAGGCCTTCTTGACTTTGACGAACCAACCGAGACCCTGCAACCATTATCCACCACCACCACCACCACAACCCCCAAGGAAGCCAACCTCCAATTGAAATTACCGAGAAAGAAAGTCCCCTGGACTAAGCCGATGAACGATCACCTCTGGTCTTACTACTCCCTCTACCTGCAAGACCCCAAAGTCACACCGTTTCGCATGGGCAAGAACTGCATTCCACCGGAAGGAGTGTGCGCACGAGTTGCCCGCGAAGCCATTCGCACCTGGCGGGGGTCGAAAGCGCAAAGGAGCACTGCCGGTGGCAGCGCCGAGGGAGCCGGGACGTTCATGTGCTGGCCGCATACGCAAGCAGCCACGAGGGCACAGCTAAGGGAGTTATGCCGTCAAAAGGCGGCAGCGGCAGCTAAGAACCACCGCTTCCTCTCTCGAAGCGTAACTCCGATGCAATCTGTCCAGACGCCCAGGGTGGAGCGGCCGTTTGCGACAGGGGACATGTCCATGTCTCTTACGTTGTCCACATCTGAGCACATGCAGCCACAAGGGCCATTGGCACAGTTGACGAGATCAAGTCTGAGCATCTTTGAAGCTCTACAACCCATTCCGATCCCACAGCGGCAGCCAAATGACGCAGATCAGGAACCTTTACGGGGCCGTCTTGGCTCTCCATTATTCGGCCCCTTCCCGAGATCCGCTGGACAAGCAGACTTTGACGACCCTGAACCAGCCCAACCGCGAAGCTATGGTCCTTCCTCGTCAGCCTCCCTTGCCGCCGCAATCGGCGCAATCACCACTCGCAAAAGGGGCCAGACGATTTCCCATTCCCTCCCGGGTCAACATAGCCGGCCGACAACAGGCAGACTCCAAAGCCCCGTAAGACTCAGCCGATCCAGTGCGCCTGGTAAGCGGAGGAACACGCATTCGCAGGGTGGAGACCACAGAAAGAAGACTGCTTCTGCTCCTGCTCCTGATTCCGTAGCAGCAGCAGCAGCAGCAGCAGTAGACTCCAGGCCAAAGGTAGAAGAGGGCACCACCACCTCCAGCACTACCAGAGGCCGAAGGTCAACCGAATTCAGTTCAACATTAGGCCACCGATTTGACGACTTGTTTATCCCAAGGTCTACTTCCACCGGTGCCGATCTCGCTGCTGCTCCAATCCCATCCGAGCCACAGGCACAGGGCCTCCCCAGCTCCATCAGCATGCCAGCAATCCTCGGCTTTACTCCCTTCCATGTCGCCCCACCTCCACAAGAAGAGTCCAATGCCCAACCACCTGCCAGGCTGGGATCGCCGTTGAGCTTTACCTCTACCTTTTCTGCTACTCGCCACAGCCACATCCGAAGACCGGGACACGGACAGAGTGTAGATCTGGGGATGCTTGGTCGTGGACCAGCTGCGTTGATGCAGCAGGCTATGAATCAAGGGCCAATACGTGGCGGGAGGCGGAGCCAGGAGTCGATCAGTGAACTCCAGAGACCCCGACCAGAGGCTAGCAGGACCAACAGCACTGGAAGTGGAAGTGCAAGTGGCAGTGGCAGCGGAAGCGAGACAACAAGAGGTGGGAGGATGGCGGATCTGAGGCAGCGGTTAAGAGAGTTTAGTAGACGGAGGGGTGGGGAGGGCGGGAGGAGGAGGTCTGGGAGTCCGTTTTAAGTCCGTCCCTCTGTCCATTTCTTTTGCTTCTGGGATGGAGTGTTCTTGCGTATGATTATGCTTTACGGAGGAACGGCGTTATGAGAGTGTTTCTCCTTACCTACTACTACTGCATGGCCGGCGGAGAAAGTCGGGGTTCATGGCGTTTATGAAGGCATATGTCTGTTGGCATCCGCATGCACCAGACGGTTGTATTGAAGAAGGAGGATGGATGAATATCCTTGGAGAGTTCCTACCAGTGACTTCACACAGTCAGTACGCAACGTGGTGGCACTGGCTTCATTTACTTATTGTGCCGCGAGGCATTCCTTTCTTTGCATACTTGGTATCTCTTTTTTTCTTTTCTTTTTGGACTTTTGTTGTCTTTGGGACGGACCTCTTTACTTCGCTCTACTCTCTGTACAATCAACCGTACCATGGTGAAACAGTACATGGCGACTGATTGGTATCTTTCTCTCCTCTTTTTTTTTCCCTCACGGGTTTTGGTCATGTACTTGCCACATGGAACGGCGTCAATAGCGAAACTCACCTCACAGCATATCTAATATCTTTCTTCTAGCCTACTTAGATTCTCATATCACTCGTTATCTTGTTTATTCAGATACATGTGAACTTGCAATACTCGTCTCTAGCGCACATTGTTCGATCATTAAAGGCTTATACTCGCATATAGCTCAACATTGCAGCTTGGTGACTTACCCATGTCTTGACATCAATCAAGCCCGATGGACGTACTCGTTCTCTGCATTCCGCTTTTGTTTAATTATCCAGTGACATTGGACCAACAGCCCAGGAATGTGACTTGTGAAACAAGACTTCAAAAATACCTACACACGTCTCACATTAGTAGAGTTCCAATCCGGACACAGTCAAATCGCATTACACACAGTCGTCCTCAAACCCTCACCGGATCTTAATAAATCCACCAAGTCCACGCCAGAAGTACATACTGCCCCGGCCCCGGCCCCGGTCCCGGCCTCCGGAGTTTGACGTGTTGTTGCCCGCTGCCCAGCAAGGCGACGCTTGGACCCACACCTGTTCGGCGCCTCCCGCCCGAAGCGGGACAGCAGTGCCCTGAGTGGGGTTACATAGTGCTGCCGCCCGCCCCTGCGCCTTGTCCCGCCCGGAGACTTTCATTCATCTTTATTAGCGTTGCCCCGCTGAATGCCAACGCCAACCGCGGCATTCGAATTCCGGGGTTCGGATCGATTAACATCTTCAATCGACACTGCTGGCTATGTCGACGCCTTTCCGTATAGCTTCACCATTCAGCTTGTGGTCGCAATAATAGTTCCCGACCGTCGCTAGCTAGACTCGATAGGTATTCGGTCTGACGCAACACCCCGAGACCCCGAACCCGAGCTAGGTATCGAACCATCAAGCTACCACCAACCTCACCCTGCACCGCGCCGAACCACAACCACACGCGTTTCCCTCCCGTCCTCCAAGCCCGAAGCTCCCCTCCAACCTGACAATAGAGACCCAAATCACAAACACCATCGAGCTCGACTCCGCCATCCAATGCCAACACCATGAAGTTCAACGTCACACCTAAACGAGGCGGGGCTCCCAGCTTCCTGTCCATACAACAATTGCTCCTACTAGGCTTCGTCGCGCTAGCTACACCCGTTGCGGCGTCCATTGGCGATCGGCTACCTGAGTTTCAGGAGTGTATAAGGGTGGGTTGTCTTCCAACCTGGGAGTAATAAGGACAGCTTTGCTCTGTACAGACAAGAGGAACCCAGGACAGAAAGAGAGAGACCGACTGACGTTATACTGGTACAAACTAGGTCTGCGAACGCGAAAACTGCGGTCCGGACGCTGAACACCAAACGCCCATTCGTACGTCTTCCCTTTTCCCCTTCCCCTTCCCTCTTCCTCCATCCACTATCTAGCTACCTACGCTACCTTTGTCGTCAAGAACAACAACGATCTGACTGCTTGCAGCCCTCCACCGCCGCCTCCTCCTCTGGTCCTGCCCCTCCGAATGCGACTACACCTGCCAACACCTCACCACCTCCTCGCGCCTCTCCCAATCTCCTCCCCCCTTCCCTCACCCAGTCGTCCAATACCACGGTAAATGGCCCTTTATCCGTTTTCTCGGGATGCAAGAACCTCTCTCCGTTCTTTTTTCGCTCGGCAACTTCTGGGCCCACTACCAAGGCCTCTACACCAAAATCCTCCCCAACATCCCGCCCTCCTACCCCTTACGGAAATGGTACATCCTGCTCTCCTACGTCGGCATGGCCTCGTGGTTCTTCAGCGCCGTTTTTCACACAAGGGATTTCCCCGTTACCGAACAACTCGACTATTTCGCTGCGGGCGCCAACGTTTTGTACGGACTGTATTATACGGTTGTGCGCATCTTTAGGCTGGATAAGAAGGACACGCCGCGCCGCGAGTCGCTTTTGCGACTGTGGACGGCTTTGTGCATTTTGATGTATGTGGCGCATGTCACGTACCTGAAGATGTGGGCGTGGGATTACACGTATAACATGGCGGCCAACGTGGCGGTCGGGGCGGTGCAGAATCTGCTGTGGAGTTGGTATTCGTGGACCAGGTACCGGGAGCAGAAGAAGGGGTGGGCGGCGTGGCCGGGTATTGTGGTGGCGTGGGTGTTGGTGGCCATGAGTTTGGAACTGTTGGATTTCCCGCCGCTTTGGGGGAGTGTGGATGCGCATAGTTTGTGGCATGCGGGCACCATTGTGCCGACGATTATTTGGTATAAGTGAGTATCTTATCCAGTTGACTGAAGCTAAAAGGGAGATGGAAGCTAACTATTATGTTACAGTTTCTTGGTTAAAGACGCGCAGGATGACATGGCGAGGAGCGAGAGGCTCAAGTCTTAGGAGGGTTTGAGAAGTTGACAGTGTACAGCAAGTTAGAGCGCTGACAGAATGGAATAGACATTATGTTTGTTTACGCTATATCCAGAGGATTGATACACGCGACGCTGACGAGAACGACGATTTTATGTTTTCACACCAATACCCAAGACCATAACACTCCTCCCGGACCCCAAAGGCTTCCTTTCGCTTCACTGTTCTTGGTCTCATTCTCGTCGTCCGGAGAAGCACTTCTGTTGACACCAAGCAAATCGAGCAAGCGCAGCCTGGCATCGTCCTCGTCTGGCTTCTCACTCTATTTGTTCTCATCCGCCTGACCTTCCTAGTCAACATCGTTTTCGTCACCAGAAGAATCTTCATGATAAACAGCCGCCAAATCGACAACCTCATTCATCATCCGAGGAGTCATCATGAGGAGAATCCTCATCGGAAGGATAAACAGGCCTGACACTGACATCGACATCCTTGTTTCCATCAAGAGAACCCCCAGCTTTTTCGGCATCGACATCGACGCCTTCAACAAGAGTCGGCTTGTTCTCCGGACTATTAGACCCAGAGAGGTGATATCTGTCTCCCTCGTCGTCGGCGTCTTCCGAGGAAGACTCTTCATCTGGAAACATCTCATCATCCGAAGACTGCTCGTCCTTGAAGAGTGTTGCGATTTCCGGGCTAGACATGCTGTCGCCTTCCGACCTGCTTTCCTCCTCCTGGCCGGGCTTTGGACTGGTGCTCTCCTTGTGCTCCAACATGGTTGACTGCTCGGGGATAGCGTCTTCCGACCGGGTTCCGTCCACCTCCCCAGACTCTGGGCTATCTCTCTCGATGTATCGCAAGATAGCTCTCCCACGCAACCCGGGGTTTTCCTCCCAAGGAAGCACTATGCTGCGATCCGTGTCAGAGTTCACGCTGCCCGACGGCGAGGGGCTAGCAGAAAACAGCACTGGTCCCAAGCCGCCTCCACTGTTCCGGACCGGCAGATCACCTGTAGATATCGGCATGCGTCTGGCGTCGTCGGCCCTGGTGCGGACCTCTTGGAAGCCACGTCGTTCCATCTCATTAAGCAGGGCCATGTCCATCAAATCCGCAGTCACGCCCGCATCCTCCACATACTTTGTTCCGCCGGCGCCAGCCTCATTGACAACCTTGAATTCTTCCTCCTCTGCGCACCTTTCAAACTCGATTTTCCTCTCCCTCTCCTTCCATACTTTCTCCTCAAGCTTGTTCCTCGACAACTTGTCCATAATCCTGAATAAGTCGTCCAACGCGTCTCGCGGAAATTCCAACACCCACCGCACACCCATTGGCTTTTGCTCCTCACTTACTTGCTCATACCCCAGCTCCATCGCGAGCCTTTGGACATTCTCCTCCATGTCCAAGTACCTTCTCATTCTCGCATCGATCGGATACTCCACATTCCCGCTCATCGACGGCCCCGCGCCACCGTGAATTTGAATAGCATCCACGTCCTCGAGTAGTCCAAAGACATCACTAGTTGTCTCTCCTAGCGCAGCCTGCAACTCCTTATCCCCCACTCCCGGCCTCCAAAAGTCAATTACCTTCAACCCCAGCACCCCTTTCTTCCAAACCGGAGCCCCCTTCCCACTCGTACCCACATCGAACCCCAAATCAAGATCCAGTCCCTCCGCCTCCTTCACCTCATGCATCCTCTCATCAATCCTGTACCGCACTATGACCCCCCTACACTTGTTCCTCTTATCCGCCACACACAGCACAACGCTCGTAAACTCCTTCTCCACCCACACGTCAAAATTGGGACGTCCAAATCCCTCCTTCGCCCCCGTTTTGGACGGATCCAACGCCCGCCAGCATTCCTTGTCTGCAATCAAGCACTCCGGCAATGCCTTCAACCCCATTTCATAGTCCCAGCCATCTGTCGTCGATAACCTGCCCATAAACGGGCGAAGCGCGTACCCTTGTTCACGGATACACCCCTCAAAATGTTGTAAATCCGCCGGATCTCGTCCGTCGCGCTCGAGGCTTCTCAGTTGCGCCATTTCCCCTCGCTTGCGGAGTTCGAATGCAATTCTTTCGCTTTCGGTGTCGTACTAAGGTTTCACCGAGTGTTGGTTCCTGTTATTGTTGTTGGAGGCAGAATAAGGAGGATAATTGAAGCCGTAGGGCGCCGTGTTGCGTGGCTTAGCTGCAGGAGGAGGAGGAGGAAAGGAAGGAAAAGGTAAATTGGAATCTCGAAGATCGGGAGAATAGATGGGGCGGGCATCTGGTGACGGGGCAGCGGAGTAGCGGGCTAAGCGGGCTGAGGGTCGAGAAGAGTCACGAGAGGAGGGGGAGGGAACTTCACGCTCGTCGAACGAGCTAGGTGAGCTGCCACGACGGCTGTTGGCCGCCAGGTTGGCGGCTCTGGCGGCAGCAGTGGCACGCTCAAAGAAACTGGGGGCGAAACCTGATGGAAAGCCCGTACGAGGAGGAAAACTAGCACGAAGAGAAAGGGGACAACGAGAAAAAGGACGAGGAAGGGGAGAACGAGAAAAAGGACGAGGAGGAGAGCGATGACGAGGGCGAGGACGAGGTGAAGTAGAATGGGGAGATCGAAAGTGAGGACGAGGAGAAGATGGAAGATATGGAGGACTGGAAATAATTTGATTGCTGTCGGCACGGGAAGAGAGGGAAGGGCTGTAGTTCGTATTGTCTGTACCGGTCTCGTCGTCGATGCCCGCGCGTGTCAACGGCCGGCCACGCTCGAAGTCGTCGGCCCCGGTGGAAGAGGCGGAGCCCATTTTGGGTAGTTAGCTTGGTAGTTCCGAGTGTAGTGTGTGTTTGTGTGGTAAGTTGGGTTGGTTGTTTATGGTAGTCTTTTTGGTGAACTGATGTGGGAAGCAGATTGGAGCGATGCTTGTCTGTTGTAGTTGTGATCAATGATGTTGGGTATGTTGTTGGATGGACATTAACCAAGATTTAGCTGTGCAATATTGTGTGATGGTATAGTTGCTGAAGAACGATCAAATGATGGATTGGCGTAACACTTGATGTTGTGATGGTTGGTGACAGTGACTGGTGTGTGGATTAGGTTGGTAAAATCCTAGATTTCAACTTACTTCAGTTCAAGTTGGTGTCCAAGTTAGATGATTGTACTTCCCTTCAAGAACATCTGCCCCTTATAGGGCCTCACAACCTTTTCTTAGCAAGAGGAGGAAAGTGGGAGGCAAACAGAAACCAGTCTGGTGGTGGCTCAGACTTTCCTCTGTTGGCCAGACTGCATTGCCTGCAAGAGCTCATGGTTCAAGGCTGGCAATTCCTCAAGGCAATAACCAGCATTGCATCTGCGACTTTGCGAAAATAGAACCCAGAGGAAACCTCCACCTGTGCCTGTGATACCTACGGGAAAGTCAGTTCAGTGACAAATGAGCCGACTCTTTTGTTCCTTCCCTTCGATACAGAACTGTTCTCGATTTTTATTTTTTATTTTTGAGGAAGGCCATGATGGCTTGATGCTGGCGAGCAGACATGGACATATTGTTCGAGGCTATCATTATCTGGTCCAGTATTCTTTGCAAACAGATGCTAGAGATGCAGTGACTTCACATACGGTTGTCGTGGCAACAAAGCGGGAGTCAAAAGTGGACAGAGTCCAATGTTTTGATCACCATGCCATTCCTGGAAAAAGGGCATCACTGTTCCAGAAAACAAAAGACAAAAAGGGTTCATGCAGGACAAATTTCCCCTGGCAGCGCCAAGACGGTTCATCCCCAGGATCATGGGTGGTCGACGTAGTGGGTATCCCTAGGAGACTTACTGACCAATCAGAAAACGGACCGGGAATCAGCGTGTAAGGTGGCCTCAACTCAGGTCCGTTAGCGTTTCGTTTCGTTAACAGTTAAAAGATACTAAATAATCCGGAGGGTTGATTGATTGATTGATGGTGATGAAGTAGCGAAAGTGTCAACGAGAACTTAATAAGTGCTTATTCGTTTGTTAGATTGCTGCCCCTCGTTTCTGGAATTTGGAGTCTTTGTGAAGATCGCCTATCCCGTCCCGCCCGAGCTACAAGGCTACAGCTGAATGAGAGAGTTGACATTCCACTAACAACAGCCTGGAGCTGGAGCTTTGAGTACCGTTGTCAATTCCACAGCTTCCACCCGTTCCCGCTTGGTGACGCGCAAGCTCCGTCCCTCTACGGGAACCAACAACACCCAGCAAGGGAGGAAACGAACCCCTCCACCAACGAAACCACGTGGAACCTTCCATTGGAACATTCCCTCGTCCCTCGGCTACTTAGGGGTAGAACTACCTGCTCATTACACTGTGTCCATATCCAGAGAATTCAGTTGGGTCATTGCCGTCGCTGATTCCACCGAAGCCCGTCCGCCCCTAGAGGCAACTTTCAACAAACCCGCCGACGATCCAAGATGGCCGGGAAATCGAGATTCACCAAGCTCGACGCTTTTACAAAAACAGTCGAAGATGCCAGGATCAGGACAACATCCGGAGGCATCGTCACCATTGTCTCCCTGCTTGTTGTCTTGTTCCTCTCGTGGGGAGAATGGAGAGACTACAGGAAGGTGGTGATACACCCCGAGTTGGTGGTTGACAAGGGACGAGGTGCGCATACTTACCCCAACAACAGCAACCCATAGACAGTAGAGCTGGATAGTCAAGACAGATAGGAAGAAGAGAAGCTGACCATGACGGAATCCCACAGGCGAACGAATGGAAATCCATCTCAACATCACCTTCCCCAAAGTACCCTGCGAACTCTTGACCCTCGACGTAATGGACGTATCCGGCGAGCAACAACACGGCGTCCAGCACGGCGTCAAGAAGATCAGACTTAGGCCCCAAAGCGAAGGAGGAGGCGAGATTGACGCCAAGATTCTTTCTCTGTACGTTTTCCCTTACCCATCTCCCCCTTCCATTACCTATTACCAATAGCACCACCACTAACACCTCTTACCCAACAGCCACGCCGCCGACGAATCCGCCACCCACCTCGATCCCTCCTACTGCGGTCCCTGCTACGGCGCCCCGGCCCCTTACAACGCCAAAAAGCCCGGCTGCTGCTCCACCTGCGAAGAAGTGCGCGAAGCCTACGCCCAAGCCTCATGGGCCTTTGGCGACGGCGCCACCATGGAGCAATGCCAGCGGGAGCACTACACGGAGCGGCTGGCCGAGCAGCGCCACGAAGGCTGCCGCATCGAAGGCGGCCTGCGCGTCAACAAGGTGATTGGCAACTTCCACATTGCGCCCGGCCGGTCCTTCTCCAACGGCAACATGCACGTCCACGACCTGGCGCAGTGGTGGAGCACGCCCGTCCCCGGCGGCCACTCCTTCAGCCACATCATTCACTCGTTGCGATTCGGTCCCCAGCTGCCTGACGACTTGGTTCGCAAGTTGGGTGGTAATGGGAAGAACACGCTGTGGACGAACCACCATTTGAATCCCCTGGACAACACCAAGCAGGAGACGGACGATCCAAACTACAACTTCATGTACTTTGTCAAGATCGTGCCGACCTCTTACTTGCCCTTGGGGTGGGAGAAGCAGGCGGCGCAGAACAAGGCGACTTGGGAGCAGGACCACAGTGTTGGACTGGGCGCGTATGGGTACGGATCAGATGGAAGCATGGAGACGCATCAGTATAGCGTTACCAGCCATAAGCGCAGCTTGACAGGAGGTGATGATTCGAAGGAGGGTCATGGTGAGCGGTTGCACAGTAGGGGAGGTATTCCGGGCGTGTTTTTCTCCTACGTAAGTCCCCTATACCTATCTGGGTGTGGATTTATAATATGGTGGTGGTGATGAGTGCTAACAAAGTGGGCGATAGGACATCTCCCCCATGAAGGTGGTCAACCGCGAAGAGCGCGCCAAGTCCTTCCTTGGCTTCTTGGCTGGTCTTTGCGCGGTCGTGGGTGGTACCTTGACCGTTGCGGCGGCGGTAGACAGAGGCTTGTTTGAGGGCACGGTGAGGTTGAAGAAGCTGAGGAGCAAGGATAACTAAACACATGGATATCTGCTGGTCAAGGGAGGTGAAAAAGCAGAGGTAGGTATAGATTGATGGGTTGGTTGTGTCTACAGGCGGGAGAAGTTGCAAATATTTCCTTTTTTTTGAGATTTATTGAAGTTTATCTGAATCTACTTAGGTACATACAGCAGAATTGTTCACGGTGCTAATTGATTTCCCTGCATGATGAGCGTCGCTGGTTTTGATGCGATGTGAACCTCCATGATACCCTCCCTACCCTATATCGAAACGAGTATACCCAAAGTAAAGGTCAGGCAGTTTCAAAACAAACTGAACCCCTTGAAACCACCATCCAAACCACCCTAACCCCAGCCCAAACGAACGAACCCGACTACCCGGGACCCGGCCGGACGGTGTAAGCTACACTGCCTCTACAGGTACTCAAAGCACGCCGATGTGGACCCCCAGTCGGATCCGGGTGGGGCACGGATCGGAGGGATCGGTACGCAGCATGTGCCTGGCAGCTAAGGTAGGTAAGGTAAGGAACAAGGTACCTGAAAAGGGCCGGAGAGTTCGGTCCGAAACAGGGGCCACCGAGAGTCTGGATACGGACTGAACTCAATCTCGATCATGACCCGATAGTCTGGGTCGTCATATTGTACACTGTTTTCTATGTATCTGTTTTCGTGAACAGCTCGATGTGTGTGCAGAGGAGGAGTGCCGCCGGTGTTGCGGCTGAAAACGTCAAACTCCACTCGCGAGACTGCCTAGAACAGGGCTGTGCAGTGCAAGTTGGCTGTTGGGTACTTAACTACACTAAGCTCAGCAGGAAACTAAAAAAATTCGCCACGATTAGATCGGATTGATCGTGTTAGTTAAATCGGTTAAATCGGTTTGGATTGTTGGACATGAGGAGTGGCTAGATTATACTTTACCCTTTTTTTAGTCGTTCGATCTTCTACGAGGTTCGTATGCTTTAGTTACCTACCTTGGTACATGTTTTGTGCCTGGCAGAAGTATGTTTTCGGCAGACAGCAGCTTGTTTGTCTTGTGTGTCTTGACTTGGGTGTCTCTGGATTAAAGTTACCTCAGACATCGTCAGACCTCGCCATGCTTGCTTGTGATGGTTAACGTGGCAAATCACGATGAGGGTTCTGGTTTGGTTTGGGTAGAGAGGTACTTAGGTGTTACTCTGCCTTCTGTAGGTTCAGTTGCTCGGTTAGATCTCAGTTTGGATGTCTGAAGACTTCCATCGTGGGCAATTAGATGATGGAAGGCGCAAAGTGTTTTTGCATTGTAGACTGTACCCGTAATGTTTCTTTCAATTGAAGACGAGATGTTGAATACCAGACAAGTTCGAGATTTAGCACCAGCAAACTGCAAGAAGCTGCATGGTAAAAGCTGCCTGATGGACCTTGAAAGGTATACATACTGTACTGTAGCAAATGACAGACCTGGACTCTCCCGCATTTTTTCTCCCTCTTCTTTCGTTGTTGGGGTTGCTGGATCTACTTGGCAAAGACTCAAAGACTTTTAGACTTGGAGGATCTCGGTCTAGATTTTGATTTTCAAGCTGGAGATCTGAAAAGGATCGGGAAATCGGGTCGTTGCGACGGTGATGGCGATCTGGACGCAGCCAGTCCCGTTTTTTCCCCCAGCCTTTGTTGGTGTCTTCGTAGCCGTGTACTTCGCATTGATGCTCGGCCGCAGGGTTCAACGCATATCAGAGAGTGTGTACCACAGTGGTGATGTGCTAGAATCGTGGTAATGAACGCTACAGGAATAAAAGGAATTGCCGTATATAGGTGAACTTTAAGCATGATTTCTCGTTCGTACCGGTGAGAGCAAGGAGAGAAAAAGAAAACAACAAAATCATAAGAAGACGAACGGATATCCCAAAAGGGCTTAGCGGCCATGGGAAAAAGATCCGAACTTCCCTTCTGTTTAGTGTCCAGTTCATCTCGTTTCAGCACTCGCATCGCAAAATGACAGCGCTGTGCGCATGGCATGCAGCACGCAGCGAATGATGCAGGTCCCGCTGAAGACTACATTGCGCTTTCGTGAGTGCTGCATTCAACGGAAATCGTGGAGAACCCCTGCCATGTTGAACTGTTGTTGTCCGTTTTCGTCTTCGCTGTTCTTTGCTTCTGTTCTTCCATTCTTTCCTTTTTTTTTTCTTTTTCCCTTGACGGTACTGCTGAGTTTGATCTCTGATGGCGACGTGGTGGCAAAACCCGTGTTTGCTCTCGGTGCAGTGGCTACAGGTAAGTACAAAGCGGCAGCGGCAGCGGCTATGCTTGTGTTAAGTTGACCACGACAGCGTCAGCGGCATTCTTGAGGAACGTTGGACAAGAAACGGAGGTCATCAAAAGTGCTGATGAAGCCAAGAAGATATCATGAACAATAGAACAAAAAAAAAAAAAAAGACCCGCTATTGGTGGGTGTTCATCTCTACCAAAAGAGGTGCTTCATCTCCCTGCCGTGGCCTACCGCGTCCCTACTTATAAACCTCATCATAGGGCTCATTAACCAAGATCCCAGTGTTTCCAACCATCTCCCACGTGTAACCGGACGGGAAGGGGTTCCTCGTTTCCAGTCTTCCATCAGTGCACGACATCGACACGAGATTGAGTTGGCGGGTTCTATCCATCCCTGTGCCATGTGCCACGAGGTAATGATGGAGGCAGCAAACAGATTTGCATGTGTTGTGTACCTCGAATTCTTTTTTTAATTGTTTTTGCCGTAGTCGTTTCGTTTCTTTTCTTGTCAAGTGTTGGTTGAGAGATTAGTGGATAGATGGATCGCATTGGGAATCCGATCGCGTATCATCCCGAGCGGGGCCGTCGGACGGTCGGCCGTGACTTGACTGATCAGTTTTGAGAGAAAACGAGATTTGGCCGAGCAAAAGGGAAAAAGGGACAAAGGCTTGACTCTGGGCGACGGATCAATGAGCGCTCATAACCGGAAGGCTTTCTGTAACTCTCTCCTCTCTCGCGGTCTACCTCTGGTTGCTACCGTGCCAACAAAAAAGAAAAGCCATGTGAAGCATCATCGACGTTGTTTCAACAAATCCCGAGCGAGACCGACAGTTCAAAAAATGCTTCATGCAGGAGAGATGGGCACCTGACAGCCATACAATTTCCGGCCCCAAAGACGTGCATTTTCCGACTATAGGGGTTCTATTGTCTTATAAGCCGCAAGCAATGCCCCTGGTCGAGACGTCAAATGGGGAGACCAGGGGGCCGTTTAGGAGAAATGGACCACATCTAGAGTTGCTTGGCGCCATGCAAGAGGTTTGAGGATTTTGGAGTCATGTTGCACTGCTTTGAAGCATGACGGAACCCAACGGATGTGCTGGACATTCGAATGCGATGAGTAGTGTACTATTTCTGTATGTATGTGCCACGTTACATAGTGTATCGTGATGAGGGGGGCGCCGTTGTGCCGTTGTGCCGTTGTCGGTGTGGTCAGGTCGGTCTAGTACCTCTATGAAAATACTGTATAGAGCCCCTACCTCTACCTATTGCGAGATGCATTTGAGGGGTCAAGAGATAGGCTGCCATGTATCAGAAAAGAGACCTGGAGAAAAGGGGGACCGGTGATACCATTGCAGATCTTGGAGAGATGGGGCTTAATCCGGTGGATGTTGCGTGGTTTCGAGATGCAGATGTTCGACCGTTTCTGGAGATCAAGTCCTGGAGAGTGGAGGATACTTATCGATGAAGACGAGTCGCTGGAGTTGACGACAAAGGAAAATCATGCATGGAAAATCACTGCAGTCAAGTTGTCGGTAGGTAGGTAGGTAGGTACCTACCTCTGGTTGTATTTTTCACGTAAGAGCGTGTATGTACCTACACTAGTACTCATTACCTTATGCAAGTAGTACCTTACTAGCGAATGACAACAGTAAGAGCGACAACAGTAAGAGGGTGTCTTGCATCGTTCGCTCTTTCTTTCATGAAGTGAGTGTCTTGCATCGTCTTCCACAATCTCGAATGCTTTCAGGAACGTGAGGGAACGCCATCCACACAGCTATTCCTGTTCCACTCTAGCGCCCTTCATTTTTGGAACACAATTACAGACATGTTACCGTGAACAGCCTAGCCGCAATATTCGCCCGCCCATCCGGCCCACTTAATATCCCCAGATGAACCCACTCGATGCCCGAACGCTAGCGTGCTAACCAAAGGGTGTGCATCAGACGCGCTGAGACGAGGTTACAGTGGTGTCAGTTAGTGAGTGAAGGTGCCCCCGTCATTGGTCCCGTAGTGTTGGCCCGCTCGTGGCCTAACAGACCGTTTTTCTCAGGGACCCGCCAGACCCGTTCGTCCATGGATGCCTCTCTCTGCCCACAGAGATGAACTTCCCTTGAACCTTGAGAGAGTTGGGATGACAATTGCAAAGAACAAGCAAATGGGCTTCGAGATTCCCCGATTCCACTTTCTGCTCGCTCGCCCATGCATGTCCACTTTACTTCCATCCATTGTCACTTTTTCGACTCCATCAATGTCTTCTTGACTTTGTTGTTCCCTTTCCTCGGGCAAAACAACCGGTGTCCCCCTGTTTGGTTCCTACCTTGCCTACCTACACTACCTTTTTTCCCTTCTCCTCCACGACTCGGAGTACCTTGGTGTCCCTGTCGTTGTCTTGTCTTTTTTTTCCTTTCATCCCTAGAGGTACCCGACCCTCACTACCACCATCACTTGCAAACCCTCGAGGTCCCCCTCCTCCTCCTCCTCTATACACACGTCTCCTCCCATTCTTCCTACCTAACCTAGGAGAATACCAAGGACGACATCCATTCGCTTCCAGTCGAGAGCCGAACGAGAGACGAGCGAGTCAATCCGAGAGCCGAGTCGCAATTCCTCAACCACCTTCACTACCCTCGGCCATCATATCCTCGACAAAAACCCCCCGTCCGAATTAAATTATAGTCACTCGTTGTCGATCGCTGCGACTCCCCGTCCACCAGATTCCAGTCCACCACACCCCCCCATGGGCCACTGCTAGGACTGATTCGCTGTCGTCCCGTCATCGTCGACCTACCTCACCAAGCACGACAGCTACCCCGTGTTAGGTCGACCGTTCGAATGCGCCCTTCTCCAGCATCGGAAAACCTGCTTTGACGCACACCACCCGACACTCGCTTGCCACCCCCCTCCATTCTCGAACGAGTCCATTCGACGAAAGGGGAGAATAGGGATC